TGCAGAAATGTAGAAAATTATAAAGAGTTCACAAATTTTCAAGCACCTACCTGAGATAGAAAAGGGTTAAAATAATCTCAGTTTAGCGCCAGGGAGAACTTCTCGTGGAGGTGTTAAGCTAACAGTTATAAAAGAGTCCTTTTAAAGGTGAATTCTCAGCAGTCGGTCTCACAGCTGTTCACACTGAGTAAACAATACATTAAATATATTTTACACCTCGTCACTTGTGTATAAAGCAATCGTTCACTTAGTCACTTGTTTTTAGTGCCGAACAACGTCCACGTTGCTACGAGCATGTAGCACCAACCACAGCTGGTCACTGTTAAAAACTAATCAAGTTAATTACAGGCCTTGAAATGAATTAATCTTGATTAATTACTATTATTAACACGTTTAATCAATAGCAATTTTCACTACAATAAGCAAAGATCTTCAATTCTAATACATTGTGGCTGAATAATGAACAAACATCTTATGTATTCAGTTATTATGAACACAGATTACTGCAAACTCAAGGTGCAAATGAAATTATATTTATAATGATGACAATATAATTGACAAATAATAAGTTAAAAATAACGTTATTATAAAGCTGCAATCCATTTCAACAGAGAGTTTATTTTTATCAGATGTAGATGTTCTTATTTTGGCTCTGGACCCATGATTTGGTCTGTGTGGGCTGTTAGACCATCAACCAGTGGATTGCAGAGACTTGTCTTCCTACCAGCAGGACGGCTGTAGCATTAGCTTCAGTATCCATGCTGCAAACACACGTTCTGTACTTAAATATCTTAAGCTTGACGTTCAGTTTACACATGACTATGTTCCCCTTTACGCTCCCCTCGTTATTTTTATGTCCCGTCCAACAAACAAAGCTAAGCGTTCTTCTCATCCAGCATTTTTATTCACCAAACCTGTTGAGCACTGAGCAGCTGGCAAACTTTAAGTGCATTTCTGCCACCTGCAGGGTGGGCGTCAACAGTGTGATAAACAGAGTTATTTTGTTCTGATTTTTTCTGTAATTAATTAATCATAATTAATGTGTTAAAGACAACGCCCTAGCTTTTTGAGCACTTTGAGATTTTTGTTAATGAAAAGTGCGTTACAAATTAAATTAATTATTATTATTATTATTCTAGTTGAGAAATATCAGAATAAGCTTTATTATCATTGCACCGTATTACAGTACAGTGAGATTATGTTCGTACAGTCGTCCGAAAGATGGGCGGAGTGCGTGTTGCTGCTGCTCTAAGACATGATTTAAGGCATCAAAAAAACTCTACCAGCAAGCACATTTATAGACACATTACATATGCATTTGATGACAAGATGGTGAGATGTGTCCATGAAGCACTTCCAGATAGCACCATAGTCCTGATAAGATGTTGGTGTCAGTCGGTACAGCTCTGATAAGCGTTCACAGAAGTTCTGGGTGTGGATAGAGCAGAGCCTTCCTTAGTTTACACATATCCCAGGAGAAATTTGATATGTCGACCTGCTTCAAGGCCGAACTGGGGAGTCAGATTCAGATAAGCCACAGTTGTTGATTTTTTTCCAGGCAGACTGTTTTTTCTCGTCCACTTTGAGTTCTGCTGGTACTTTCGATCCAAAATGGCCAGATTTGTGGGCATTCCACTGGTCCGTACTTATTCCTCCAAGGTCGTCCCCAACATGCTGGCGAGTCCCAGAAGCCGCAAGTGGCCTGTAATTCTCACAAATCGCTTCCATCTTATGGTTGAGCTCGTAAATCAGCTGATTTTGAGTGCTTGAAGCACGAACCAAACCTTCACATACACTCGTCAGCTTTGCCACGGCCGAAACTGCTGCCGCCGTCTTCTTCAATAGCAAATAACATAAGTATCCGACGGTGCCAGTAAGTAGAATCCCTGCTCTATAGATTCAAATTATATAAGTCTTGGGCATCTTCCTGAGACAATACTGAAAGGCACATCAACTTTCATCCATGACATACCCTGCCACATGCATCTCAGCAGGGCATGAAGGTTCTCCAGGACCCTGTTGCTTGGTTGAAATTTTTTTTATCAGTTGGGTTGAAGGTCCAGCTAACCAGATCCATGACAGTAGTTTACGATTTGGAAGATGTGTAAATAGGAGCTCTTTTACACAAGACAGAGAGCAAAAAAGCAGGAGGGAGACAGGAGGGAAGAAAAGCATCCATCTTGTTTGAGAGCAAGTGAGGAAAAAAAAATCCTGCATTTCCTGTCGCTGTGAAGTCCTTCAGGACTTGTTCCCTTTCTCAAATCCTTATTTCTCCATATAATCAACTCTTTATTATCTCACTTCACATCTGAACAATTCATATGAATAATAACTTACAGCTGATCAGTGGAATAATACATTGGCCAAACATGCAATAAAGTGCAGCAACATGAACGTGGTTTGGTTGAGGAAATATCCATAAAGTAAATAAAATATCACATTCACATGTATTTAATACAGTCTTTAATCAAACTTATATAAATAATCAATTAACTGGGTAGTGGAAACTTGCTCGTTTCATGTATCTTGCTCTGAACTGCCATCAGCTCACTCTGACCGCTGTCTACTGCAGGTAAGATACTGACTGCTAATAACTAGTCCCACTTTGTAAAAACCCAACTGTGCCTTTAAGGGAAATGACTCCCTGCTAGCAACGCATTATTAGCGAAAAGTAGAGGTTTGAGGACAGACCTTGGTATAAGTTTGATCTCATACTGACAGTGATTTGTGTTAAACAGAAAAGAAATAGAAAACCAGGTGAACAGGAAAGTTTGACATTTTTGTACTACAGACTTAGATGACAACTGAAAAAAAAAGTGCAACAGTAGCAGCATTTTTTGTAGCTACAGTTGGCTGGTTAGCTTAGCTTGGCACAGAAGTGTGTCTGTGTTTGATAAGAGAATCTGCCAACCAGCAATAGTGACGCTAATCAGACGTTAGCAGAGAGACAACCGTCAAATACCAGCGTGCCTTTTTAAGGACAAACAAGCAAATCAGCTGCTTCAGCATCAACGCACCATGGACAATCTTTCTCAGAATGACAGACGGTGCAAACGAGCCAACACTCACCACCCAGACATTCCTTCATCTTATGGTTTTTATTGGTGCCAACGCTCTCGTTTAGTCACCATAAGGTTTGAAACAGGGTTTGAAAAGCATATTGTAGGTTCCACTGAGAGCGTTTGAGGAAAAGATTGAATGAATGAATATGTGGACAGGCTTAAACTTGGGTATTTTAAAATGGGGTTTTGTGATTAAATAATATCTTACCTGTTGATAACTTTTATAATGACCTTAGTTTGGAGAAATTAAACTCTGGTTTATAAACTGGCTTTTCCATAAACCACAAAAATGTCTAAAAGACTGCAGATATTTTAACGTTTCTCCAGAGTGGTGCATCTAGAGCAGGTAAGATATTAACTGTTCAGAACATCTCCACTGAACCCCGCTTTAACAAACATTTCAGTATGTTTTAAATAAAAAAAATTACGACTCTGCACAATTTCTCACATCGTACTGTACCGTGATCTGAAAGATGACGTTCCCACACCGAGTGTTTTATAAAACAATCAGTGGAACAAATTTTACATTTTAACTTGACGTCAAGGCATTTTGGAGCTTTGTTTTATACGATGCACTCTTATCCTCGAGCACGTTTCTGTCAATAAATATAACGCCTAATGTAGAATTTGCTAAATCTTAATTTGTGAAACAAAAGGTCAGATGTTGTAGTTTGTGTAAATGATATGTGCAAATGTCATTTTGAATGTTTTGGACTAAAAATGCTGTGTTGATCACACCGACAGGACTTTCTACAGAAGTTCGACTGCTTCTCTTTGACTTTTAGAAAACCAAACACTACTCAGGAAGTGAACAGATTTGTTTTAATTCAAAAAGTATATTTTGTAAAACAATATATTTTAGTGAAGCCACTGTAATAAAGAAGAGACTAAGAAACACGTTTTGGTTTCTGTGTTCATTTAAAATAATCAAAATCTCATCTCATTAGTTGACTTTTATTTACAAAAATAAAGTGAAAAAAAAAAAATCAAACTAAGTTCATCAGGATGTAAACATTTGGCTGGAAGCTTGTGGTGCCTGTGCAGGATGATGATGATGATGATGGAGTGTGTGTGTCACTGCGGGTGTGTGAGTCTGGTGATGGCTCGCAGCAGCAGCGGCATGGCTAGATTGGTGTCTCTGTACCACCGCGGCGTGGTGACGTGGGGAGGCGGAGTCAGGACACTCTGAGCCACGCCGGGGGCCTTCAGCAGTGACCACAGCTCCTCTCCTCGTGTTACTATGGCAACAAGGTCCTCTTCATCGGAGCACCAGGCGACCGATCCGCTTCTGCTGATCGTTCTCAACTTGGAAAGGAACAAAGAGACCCTAACAAAGAAAAATGTGTTTTTCATTACTCTGTTTATTGTATAAATAAAAAAAGTCAAAGTTGAAATATTTGTGTTGGCTAAAATCAGTTAGCTGTGGCCGCCATCTTGAATTTAGTTGACTCCATAAGCTAATGAGTTGTAAACGTACATCCAATAACTGTAAAAAGTTTCATTCAAATCTGCCCACTGGTTCATGAGATATTTTGCTAACAGAAAACAAACAGGTAAAAATATTTTCTTCCTTTCACCTTCAGAGGTGGGCGATAAAAAGTCACCTACCTCGGAATGAGGTCATGTGATCGTGATGCCAGCTTAGCGAGAGCGCTCATCAGAGACGTGATTGCACGAGGGGCGGGGCATACTGTTCCAGGGGGTGGGGCAGATGAAGTGATCTCAAACAGCACCGCTTCCAGAGCTTCGAAACAGGAAGTGATGAGACTCACAGAGCAGCGGGAGTCAGACAGCACTGACAGGTACTCCCCCAGCACCCAAACCTGGAAAAGAAACGCATCGTTACCTCAAAAGACCGGATTTATGTGATCCGGTCAGGACGATCTGAACTGAGCAAAAAGATCTGGTCTCTAAATCACCACATTAGTGTAGATTTCTTCTTTGCTGTAGACGTTGGCTGTGGTTCCAGCGAACTCCAGCAGCTCGTGAGACTGGTCCACAACCAGCGAGGGGCGGAGCTTACACAACCTGAGCAGGTGGCAGCTGAACACCCTGCAGGACCAGGAAGAGAACTGGGTTAAGATAAAACTGGGACGCAGACTTTGAGACATTCAGCAGAGCTGGATGTGTTCAGGTCTACCTGTGGACCTCTCTGCTGTATGTGGGGGTGTTCAGGAGGAGGCTGCTTCTCTCCAGCATCACCAGGATCAAATGAGCTAAAAGCTTCTCATCGGCCACCTAAAAACCAAACACAAACCTGAGGTGGACGTCCAGGTATTAGCCTCATCCATCAATACCACCATCGTAACGAGATGAACTGCAAAGAAGCTTAAAGAGAGTTGAAGAAGAACGCTAGCTAAAAGTAGCAAAAAGCTAATTAAATGCTAAAAGTCGCAAATAGCAAGTTAAACACTAAACGTAGCAAAAGCCTAGCTAAAAGTATCAAAGCCTAGCTAGAAGATGAAAAGAGTAAAATACAAAGTAAAACCTAAAAGTAATAAAGGCTAACTAAATGCTAAAAGTAGTAAAAGAAAGTTAAATGCTAAACACAAAAGCCTAGCTAAAATTATCAAAGGCTAGCTAGAAGCTAAAAGTAGCAAAAGGCTAACTACTAGCTGAAAATATCAAAACACTAGTTAGATGCTAGAATTATTAAAAGGCTAATTAAAATTAAAAAGTAGCAAAAAGCTAACTAAATGCTAAATGTAGCAAAAGGCAAGTTAAATGTTGAAAGTAGCAAAAGCCTAGCTAAAAGTATCAAAGACTACCTAAAAGCCAAAAGTAGCACAAGGCTAACTAAAAGCTAAAAGCTAGAAAAGGCTAGCTAAAAGTTAAAAGTAACAGAATCGTAGCTAAAGTTACAATTAGCAAAAAAATAATAATAATAAAACAAACATGATGAAGCAGGTTTTAAAGAGAACAATGTTTTTATTTATTTTTCGTCTTTTTGAAGCGATCTTAATGTTTTTTTATGGAAAAATTTTTGTAAATAAAGGTAATTGGTAATTAGTTTGAAAAGTATTAAAGTTACCAAAAAAAAAAACCAAACAAGCAAAAGTCATAGCACCCAGAAGTAGATTGACAAACAATAACAAAAAAGCAAGAATAAATCTGTCACGGCTCTGTTCTCTCCTTACCGTGACGACTGTGTTAAAATAAATGTGCAGCAGAACCGGGACGGTCTGCGCACAACGAACGACTCTCGGCCAATCAGCAGCCTCGGCCAGCAGCTCGTGGAGCGTGCTCAGTCGGTCAATTGTGTCACCTGAAAAGGGAAATGTCAAATAATCATTCTTACTATCGCCAGATGACGAAAGGTGAAATCGAACAATAATGTTTTGCCCGTGTGTTTGCCTGTTGCGTTAGCAAAATACATCTGGATTTTATAGTCAACGCTATTTAAGATGGCCACCACAGCTAAGAAACTTAGCAAACGCAAAAACAGCTATAACTCAGTCAGTTTTAAAGATATTGAGCTAAAACTGTGTGGTAGTAGCTGACAGTCATTCCCACCACACACTCTGAGCACTAACACAAGATCCTTTAATAAACCTGAGCTATTAACTGTTGAGGTCAGATTTTTATGTCTGTTAGCAAAATATCTCATAAACCAGTGGTTGGATTTGAATGAAATTTTCAGAACGTAACCAATGGACAAGCATCAACAACTAGTTAGTGTTTGAACTTGATCCAATTCAAGATGGCTGCCAGAGCCAAGTGACCTTAGAAAACACACAAATGGCTGTGATACAGTCAATGTTGCAGATACTGAAATACATTTTGTTGTGGTAGTAGCTGAGAGTCATCCCCATCATATACAGTCTCTGAGTGTAACAATGTATGACAGCTTTACCTAAAACTTTGGCATTAACTGCAGGAGTCAACCCTATTTGTCTGTTAGCAAAATATCTCTTGAACCACTATATGGATTTTATTGAAACTCTCAGAAAGTAATCACAGGATGTGAATCTACATCAGATTATCTTTTAGAACAAGGGGTGGGCAACATTTTACCAGAGGGCCAACTCATTGGGGGCCGAGATGGTGTAGAGGCAGGGCAGCCGGCTTGGGACCCGAAAGTCCCAGGTTCGATCCCCAGTCACTGCACATCACGTGGCGTCTCTGGGCAGCACGTCTCATCCCCAAAATGTCCCCCGGGCGCTTTCAATAGCTGCCCACTGCACCACCTGGTGGTGGATGGGTTAAATGCAGAAACTAATTTCGCCATTGTATGGAAACATACAGTGCTGACATTGTGATATTATTATTATTATTATTATTAAAGCAATCGAAGGGCCACGCAGATAATTGTAACATCAATTTTCGTTAAGATAGATAATTTGTAATACTTTTTTCAGCCTGTTTGATGTAACATGGTTAGCATACTTAATTAAAAAATATGTCTCCCCAATACTCTTTAGGATGCAAGACAAACTCTGTAAACTGGCTCTTATGTTGTTAGCTTAAATACGGAACAATAAAACGTTAAAAATAACTTGTAACTTAAAAAAAGAATAGTTTTAGTCTATTTTAACCCAAAGGTGTTTGATGTTTAGTTTAGACTTTCTGGAGTTTCATTGATAGGATGAAGGTTTTTGTCAACTTATTTAAAACTCATCTCAATTAAAGATATTGGGGGGCCGGATGGCGATTGTCCCAGGGCCTCTTTTGGCCCTTGAGTCATACGTTTCCCATGTCTGCTTTAGAGTCGATCCAATTTAATATTAAAAACTGTTACATGAAGGACATTGGGCATTCCTTCAAGCAGCTGTTTCCTTCCAGTTCATGGATTTTCTTTAAACAAAGGCTGGAGAACAGTCGGCAAAAATACAAACGTTTACATCCACAGTCAAAGCGTTCAGAGAAGACAGAAATAATTCATATAAAAAAGTGAAATATCACTAAACACGTCTGATTAACATGAAGTTAATTCAGTTTTACAAAAAGTTGAAGACCTTTCATATTGCAGTTTTAGACTAAGATCATCTTATGTTGAGATATCACTTCATCGGACCTAGAAAATAACATCATCACCCAAGATCTCCTGCAGTACCACGTGACGTCCCACTCAGTCTGTGCTGATAATGACTCTCAGCTACTAACATCTCACCTGGGACCATCACCCGCGCAGGTTTTGTTTAGTTAAAGAGTGTCTGTCTCTACCTGAGCCTGATTCCACTCGAAGCAGAAAGAGGAAAAGTCCTCTAAAAGAGGGGTTTCTAAATGCATCCAGCGACAGAAGACCTCGTCCGTTTGGCTCAGAGATGGGCAGACACGTGGACCTGCAGCACACATGAACAATCAGACTCACTCTGATGATGAAACTCTGAGTGGCAGGTGGGTTGTGGCCTCTGTTGCGTTTCTAAACCTGAGCTGCAGGACGAGCGTCGCAGACAGACAGGGGAGGTCCAGCAGAGTGTGAAGCAGCTCCACTGCAGTTCCTGCAGTCACCAGAGAGGGCAGCAGATCCATAAAGTCTTCCACCACAGCTGGACTGTCCCACGCTAAAAACTACACGGAAAGCAGGAAAATCAGGTTCGATGTAGAATTAAAGTGTGTGTTTACAGATAAACTTTTCACCTTCAGGATGTTTGGGAAGAAGCGTGTGAACTCCGGAGCCCGGAGCTTCAGGCTCTCCAGGTTCAGTCGGAGGAAACGCAGAAGCTCGTGCGCCAGGAAGGGGTCATTGAAGAGCTCAGCAGGAAACTGAGCGAAAACCAGCTTCCACACACTCTCACAGTCCACTGCGGCCATCTCACCTGAGCACGACAAGGTAGGTTTTAATGTCTAGACACAAAAAGAGAAGTAGAGAGGACTCCTTCCTACCTACCTACCTACCTACCTACCTACCTACCTACCTACCTACCTACCTACCTACCTACCTACCTACCTACCTACCTACCTACCTACCTACCTACCTACCTACCATCCAT